ATTTTTATTGGGAAGTATGTGTTTTATTTATAGCAATATTTTTATTGGGAAGTATGTGTTTTATTTATAGATATATTTGAATATATTTTTTGACTTTATTAAATATTTTATGTATTAAGAAGAGCAGTGTTAAGTATGCAAAAGTGCTATCAACCAATTCAAATGCAGGATATAAATAAAAACAGGCACACAACTACACACACACACACACACACATATATATATATAATTGTTTAATGTCAGTTTCTGCATTAAGACAATTGAAATGTCTGATTTCTAACAAAAGCTCCAAAGAGTATATCAATGAGTTTAGTCTGTGGAATAGAAGGTAATCATTGCTGCAAACATTTACTAAACCATCAATTTAAAACAGTCAATCAATCCATATAGCAGATGCTTGTATAAAGAGTAATAGGCGTAATATTACATTAAGATAAATACTGATAATATACTATGATCCTTTGATTAATGTTCCAGTAATAGTTTTCACAATTCCAGTAAAAAAGTGAAAATATTATAATTATGAACTACGGTTTATCCACTGTCGCTAATTAAATCTTCATTGTAGTTAAGCCCAAAGCTACACAAAGGGATATTTATGCTGTGCCCACTACGGGCATAAAAACGTTGTTAGCATTACAAGTCCGAAGACTGTGCTCTAATGAAATCTTTCACACGATATCATAGGTCAACAGTACGTTTTATTAAAACACACACTATTGAACTCAAAAAGCTTTAGTATTAATATGTCAATGGTATTATATCACAGAAATAGGACTAACGGTTTAAATCAAAATATTCCATGTTGGACTGATACTGGTTCGTCGTCACTAAGTATCGGTATTTAGGTCTTTTAACACACCAGGGGGGTTAGGTGCATGAAGACCTCTTCCTCCTACCGAGCTGTGGTTTTGTGCTGTTGAATGATGGTGTAGACACGACATGAGGGTCGGAGTAAACCGCACTTACTCTGACCCCTTTCAGGGCAATGTCCATGTAGGTATCTACAGTAGCATTCTAGTGTTTTGCACTATATCTCTTTATCTGTTTCATAATGCACATAACACTTTTCACCAGTTAAAGACTAATCAAATTCATTTTACATAAATACCCTATTAAATGAATTTTTCTTAGTATTGACTAATGTTGAGTTTAAAGTCTAGTAATAGGTGGCCTTATTACATCCTTATTACTAAAATCAATGTTTACGGGTGAGAGGTACTTAGGCCTACTACCATCATGTATGTAGTAGCGATTACGTTCGCAGAGTAGGTCATTTTTCTGCCAATTTTTTGCAAAGTAATTTAGAGTATTATGCAAGAGTCTATCGGCTATTGTTTGTATATTTGCATAACTGTGCATGAATTTTACTGAGGTTGTCCGGGGGACTTTTTAAGCTGTGGTGAGTAGTCAGTTTTGTATGGATTGCAGTCTGTTTACATGTTTGGGAAGTACGTTTATCCAAGCATGACAGGCGTATTCTATGATGGGACGTATATATGATTTGTAAATTTTGATTATGTTGTCAGGTGATGTTCCCTGATTTTTACCTGTTAGACTTCTTGCATAATTTGTACGTTGCCAGACTTTAGTTAGAATATTATTTATGTACAACGTTTCGACAAGGTTTTGTCAACAGATTTTCAACAAGACATTAAAATCACCAAAAACAAGGCACCAGGAGAAGATGGCATACAGGTCATCCTCCTCATAAAAGGCACTCGGAGATTGTATAGACACCTTACAGCAATGGGCCCGGCATGGCCAGGTGGTTAGGGTGC